GTGAAACGAGCTGCTGTGAAACGAGCTGCAGTGAAACGAGCTGCAGTGAAACAAGCTGCACTGAAACGAGCTGCTGTGAAACGAGCTGCAGTGAAACGAGCTCTGGTACTCACGCCAAGCTGCTCACTACCAGGTCGAAGGTGTTTTCTTTGAACGGCAGAAACTCCTCGTCAGCCAGGACGCAGTGAGTCGGGATCTCGCTCGGCCTCATCCGTCTCTGATCAGAAAACAACATTCACATATGAAATTACAGCAGTCTGCTTCAAACTCCTGCCCCCATCTTTGATATCTGAGTACGAGTCTAAGGACCCACCAGAGACTGCTGGGAAACGTCTGTCAGGCAGAAACGCTCCACGACCTCCTGCGGGACACATCGTCAGCACAGAGCTCATCATAACAGCAGTGAAACTCGTGCAGCGCACACAGACGCAGGCAACAAACATCTGAGCTCATGTTTAACGTTCTGCTCATCTCCCGCTCTCTGGTTTTATTCTTTGACTCTGACAGCAGCTTTGCATGATTCACAACTCAGAATAATCCTTCTTTTTCTGATTCTGTCTGAAATGTTTTAGCTCCTGTCTCCACTTTGTGCTGATTGACCGACTCTCGGAAGCCTACAGAGGGGCAGCACCCAGAAAGCTGTGCGTCTGTAGCTGTTATATGTTCAGTTTTATCTCAGTGTTTTTATTGTCGTCTCTGCAGCTGTCAAAGCTGCTGACTCTGAGTCTCATGTTCACCTAAAACCTCCTCAGACAGTCTGTGATCGCACAAATCCAAAACTATAAATAAGAGTTCCTCTATAACTTTATTTATTTTGGTTTCCCAACCTCACAAAATGATTTCAGGTTTTCTATTTGATTGTTTTGGTGAACTACAGACAGTTTGTGGAGATGACCATATAAGGAGATCTAAACGACATCAGCTCGTTACCGAGGTAACAAAGACTCGTCTGAGGCCTTTTCTGCACACCGAGCTCGTGACTTTATGTTTATCGTGTTTAACATGAGCAACAGTGTGACGTCATAGCAGAAACAGCAGAGCTTTAACTTGAGCTGTGCTCATCGGTTCATCTCTGATCAGGAAATCCGACCCGTCTGTAGCTGCTGAATACATGTGATCACAGCGGTGACCTCAGATCACCGATGAGTGCTGCACGCGCACACGCACACACAC